TTAATCACTGGGAGAACCACTTGTTAAATGGAAATGGCCAGCACTGAGCACTAAGTTACCAACTCCCCACAAGCATCCAGTCTACTAAAAAATTCATAAAGAGACAGATGGCACAACAGCAGCTCTTTGCAGGAGAGCAGGGTTTAGCAGTGAACAAAGGACTTTGACTCCTTAGGACAAGAGGAGCAATCATTGTGGGTTTTGGAGGCTTGGAAGGGGGGACTGGTGCACATGGGGAGCTGAGAGGGGCTGCATCTATCTGCAGCTCCTACTTTCGCTCCATAGCAGCAGGTTTGAGACATTTATTCTACTCTGGCAGGCATACAAGGAGGAAGGAGAATAGAATACAAGTGATCCAACACTGCTGTGTATTGGAAATGCTCCCTGCAGCAGAAATCTGAGGGAAAGGAAAGAATTAAGACAAAATAAAAGAGCCCTCCTATTTGCATAGCTAGGCAGCTTCTGGCACTTGGCATTAATGGGGAAACCGAGGCACAGAGTTGTGCAGTTTGCTTAAGATGATGGGACAGTTGTCAGTGGGAATTTGATAGAAGCTGTTCATGCAGTTCTACTTTTAAGTGTTATCTTTTCCCTTAAGGGTATCTCATAAAGTCCTTTTTGGATGATTGACATAAAGAGGCAAAAAGAGCCAAAGCCTGTACTTTTTTCAAGCCAGATCCTTCAGGAAGATGGGAATGACAACAAAAGCCAAGCTGTAGGGTGGGCAGGGGAACACAATGCAAGAAGACGTACAGCCCAGTGCTATGAGTGTGGACATTTCATGCAGAGCACTTTAACACACAGCATGAAAACTACGGTGGCATAGTCAGAATATTTATATGCCTGGCAAGGGATGTATTTCCTGAAGTGAGTTTTAGTGCTTGTGAAATGTGCCAGACAGCCAGCCTGGGAGAGTTCAGCCCTCTGTTTATCTGTACAGCAGGTAGAGCACGAGTATCAGCAGGGAAGAAAACCTCCATCCGTGCTGCCCCGCTTCTGTGCTGAAGGGAAGAGTGAAGACCCCCACGCTGCAAGTCTGTAATCCAGTCTCTGTGGCTTCTCGTAGAGATGCTAACAAGCGTGCCAGCTGTGTTCATGATTTGGGGTATTTCTTTAAAAATGGTAATAAAAAGGCCTAAATATTTACAGCATGAGCCAGCTGACCAATCCTGTATCTCCCCATCTACCAAACTCACCATGCCAAGGGCTCAGCTGGTGCACATCCTTGCCACGCTGCCAACCCAGCTGCAGTTGGCCCCACGCCTCACCCACTGGCTAATGCATGTCTCAACCCAAGGTACACCCCAGCAGCTCCCCCCAACCCCATCCATCACAGCAGCCCTTGCCCCTCAATTGCAATAAATAGAAGTGGAAACAAAAACCACCTGATACTCTGCAGGGCAATTAAGAGAAGCGTGGGTAAACTTCAGCAGGGATCGAACCTAGCATCTTATTCCCAAAGCATATCTGACCTAAATGACCTCTCTCCAACCAGTTTGGAGATAGAGCAGAACCCCAGAGCCTTCGTGCAGCACAGAGCTCACACTCACGTGTTGCAGCACTGCTCCGAGTAATTCTACTGTTGTAACAGAAAAGACTGTCCCGTGCCAATTACACTCCATTGTTTCAAGTGAATTAATTTTTTTTCTTAATTAAGTAGAAATTTCTCTTGACAATTCATCTATTATTAGAAGCAAAAGTAATAATAAGCAAATAAACTGATCAACCAAAAAAGCCACCCAGTTCTCTCCAGTACCCCGGAGGCTGTAAGTCAATGGTAGCTTCTGCAATCTAGAAAAAGCACTGTGAGTAAAAAGCAGACAAAGCACCTGCTCTCCAGGACTTAAATCTGAAGGAAACAAAGTGTTAAAAAACATAGCTATCCAACTTGCATCTGATGGGTGGGTAATTTACATCCAGACCTGTACAACTCACCTGAAATGACAAAGTCTGTAATGAAATGAGGAATTCATTTGCAGTATTCCTGGCCTTTTCATCATGTGACCAAATTCCTCTCATTTGCATCGCAGGGGGAAAAGCAGCAAATTAAATGACTACAAGAGTGACAAAATATAGCTTTCATTTGGGAAGTATCATACAGAAATGAATTACCCTTCTACGTCACTCTCAACTACACCCCATCCAATTCATATCACTGCCTACAAATTCAGAGAAAAAAAAGTTAGCAGGAAAAGATCAGATTGACTGCTATGAATGATGGGAAGTGTTGAGAATTGTTGAAATGTTGGTTTAGTGGGGAAATATTGGTGGTAGGTGGATGGTTGGACTGGGTGACCTTGGAGGTCCTTCCCAACCGTGGTGATTCCATGAGAAGAACCACTTCAGCCACAAAGAAAACAATCTGTAGTCCCAAAATTATGACTACCACAGATATTAACTTCAAAAATGAAGTGGAAGAAAAAAGGCATTTGGATCACTGGGAATTCACCACTAGGATTCATTGAGAGAACACACCAGAACCAGCTTAGCTCTGGTGAATTTTGACCTCCTACATAAATTCCAAGCTTGCCCTAACATTTTGAAACATGATTGTGGCCCATAAGATCTAAAAAAGTTGCAGCCCATATTTTGGGAACATTTCTGGACTAAAGATCCATCGTTATTTTCCTGTGTGTGTTCCAGTGGTCCTCCCAGCCCGAGGTTCCAGTGCCAGAACATCTGCAGTAGCAGCATGGGAGGATCTGAACTGCGTCAGTGCAGAGGAGGTGGTTGGAGCCCAACCTGAGTTACACTGGAATTCTGGATCAGAAGAAGGTTGCAGGAACACAGACACTGCAGTGCATCTCAAAGACAGCTGCCAGCAGGAGAGGGCACGTGGCAAATGTCAGTGGAGAAGCTCCATTTCATATAATGTAAGCATTCATTTCCAAGAGCAAAAGAAAAAATTAACTGCAAGGGCCTTAGGATCTAAATCTAGTCTGCAGAGCAAAGGTCGCTGCAGAAATGTTTTATTCAGCATGAAAACTTTTGGAATTCATTCAAAGAGTAGGGGAAAAAAAAGCACAACAGCATGGCTGAGTGTTTTTTTTTTCTTAACTGAACTATTTCTTCCTTTCTAAAGAGGGACACAGCTTGCATGGTTTGGCAACACAACTGAGTTTTGTCTCCCTGCAGCAAGCAGCAGGTAAACCAGCACAGCATCAGCCTCTGAAAACACAACAAGTGAGGGAAAGGGAAGAGGAACCAACAGAGGGGGAAAATTCGCTAAATCTGATGCTTTCGTTCATCACAACATCAGCTGGGAGATTATAACTTCACTGATGTGGGGCCTTAGTCAACCCAGCAAAGGTTGCACTGTGCATCTCTGGCACGGTCAGAAGGGCTCTGTCCTGTGCTGTGGAGGGAACCTGCCTGCCCCACTACTTTTACAGTAGAGCAGCTTGGAGATTAGCAATTAACAACAACACAAAACACAAAACCCAACAACAAAAACACACCCATGTTGCAATTTCTTTTCTTGCTTCACTTCCACCATATCCACAGGTCTCCAATCCCCACAGAAAGCATCAGATCCCATATTTTGTATGGGAACGGACGGCCCTGGCTCAAGATGAGAAGTTCAGCTGGTGGTAGGAACTGCCTCCCTACCTCCTTTGTGGTTAACTGCCCAAACCCATTCACCAGGCCTTTGTCCAAGGCCACGCTGCTTCTCCAGCAGTGAGACAAGCTTCACAGAATTCAGACTTCAAATGGGAAGATTCCCAAGTGCAGATTCATACCAGATTCAGTCTTTACCTTTAAGACAGCCCGAAGTTTGCTGGAAAACTCATATGATAACATCATCTTGACCTTTCCTATCGGCTGTTAGTTGGGACGTGGTCCCACCACCACCCCCATGCACAGACAGCTGAGTTGGCTGGCGGCAGCTTTGGCCCATGACTTTGGCTTACGACTTGTAGTGTAGAATAATAAAAGGAGAACAGTGGAGTCCAGGAGTGGGAGCAACTCCACCACAGCACTGAACAAACTACATTAACTCCCCAATGGAAAAGTGGAGGAGATAATTGTAGACCTTCCTTCAATCCAGCTTGACCATTCTGGATGCCAGGTCAAATTCACAATAAATATTATAACAAATAACACCTATCAGAATGTAGGCAGGTGATGCCAAACACATACAGACATAGAAAATGAATCTGAGTCAGTCCATCCCAGCATCAGCTCTGCTCAGGCCCCTGATGCCAGCTGCTCCGGGGAGAAGAAACTCTTTAAAACAGTTACCATAGAAAAATCCGTATGGGGAAAAAGGTTTCTTCCCACCTTGTCTTATTTACTATTTTCCTTCTTGAAATCTTGGATTACAAAAGCTCTGTTACTCTTAATTTTTTTTTTCCCTTTTCACTTTGCTGAACTCCAAATCAAAAAATACTTTGAGTCACTGAATTCCACAGGCTGGTTTCCTCAGCTTCCACCAATACTGACAGTTTTGAACGTACCAATCTGTGATTGAACAAACTGCTGCTCTCCCCATTTAAGGTTTTTTACCCAAAAACTGCAAGTAGAAACCAGGCCTGGACCTGGACCTAAGTCATATATGAAGTTGTTGCATATAAAATCACTCACAATCCCCAGACCATCTGTTTTAATCCTTGCTAACGCGCTGCTTGTCTGCCTTTACCCCTTCCTTCCTCCCTGCATTTCTTGGGGAATATTGTTATGTTGTGAAAGAATGCTGTTGAAGCTGCCAGGCTGCTCCCAGCTTTGTCCTCTCCATGATCCATTTGGACACATAACTGGTGAGCAGGAAATACTCCAGATACATCCACAGAATTCTTAACTGCAACAAAAATGGGGCACGTGGAACATAACTGAGAAAACTGAACTCCATTTCGTCCAAGCCCAGGTGGACCAAAGGTGACCAGGTTTTAATGATAACAAAGCACAGGTATCCCCAAACAGCAGACAGTGACAGAACCATCAATCCCTACACACAGCCCTCTAGTAGTCACTTTGTGGAAAAATAAGGAATCCTTTCCTACCTGTCGATGATCACGGGGTCCGATGGAGTCTCGTTTCTGTTGCCACAACTCTTCTTCTCGCAGCACCGACTAAAGAGAGGAAGAAAACCAAGACTGAAAGACCACTACGACATCTGGTAGGCAAAGCAATGAGCTCCAAGTCTCCTCCAAGAAGCTTCAGGACTCAACGTGCACCTGGAAGAGCAACTGAGAGATTTCTGGCTACGATTATGAAGGGAGGAGAGCTACAAGAAATGGGCGCCCAAATCCCAGTGGGTTTTGGCTGGAGCTGGGCAGTCGGCTCCCCTCCATCTGCTCCAACATCCCCAAGGCAAACACAAAGTGGTCACACTAAGGCAGCACTTATAGAAGACTTATAAATGATTCACAGATGTCAACACGACATTACAGACATTAATATCACACGTTATGTACAGTCAATCCATCCAAAGGTGTTCAGCCCGACTATGAGAAAACAATTTCTTACATTTCAATAACTGAACTGTTGTTCACTGAATACCTACAAACTTTTTAGAATCTATGCTTACTAAAAAAACACTTCAGCAATACAGTTGGGTCACACTGAGGATCCAAAGAGATCGCTAACGTTGGCATTTGTCTGTAAATCCCCTTGCCATGGGCTCAGTGATGAGCCCTTCCAATCAATCCTGAATTTACACACCTTTCATACTGAGCAGCCACCTGCAGGACTGCATAAAAGTGATAACCCTCTCTGATGAAAGCAACATAAATAAAGCAAATCCAGGGAAGGGACAGAAATGCTGCATTTACTTTCCTTTAAAAATAATAATAATAATAATAATTTAAAAAATAAACAAAGAGCCAGTTCATTGCTTGATTTGCATGGACATTCCATTGATGCAAATGGTGCCCCTGGCACTTACCATCTATATAAACAAAATGAGTGTGCTCTGAATGACTCTGTTTTAAACATTTGTCTTAGAGCAGCACTAGAACCCATTGAAGTTTTAAGGATCCAATCATTTGTTCTGAACCCCCACGTCTCAGAGCTACCAGATCAAATCTGAGGTTGCATTTCCATTGCTGAGGTCTTTCAAATGTACACCTATGGAACCAAGAAATATTTCTGGTTTTTCGTACAGTTGTACAATAGGTGTTGAGTATGTTCACACAATACTTGAGTCAGACTCAACCTAAATCCCACTGCACTGTTTTAGGCATTAGAACAAGCAGAGAAGTTAAGACAAGATGCTCGAATTCACTGAAATTGGGATAAAATATGAAAGAGCAGTTTTTTTTCTTTTACATGAATATTCAACTCTAATACTTAAAATAAGCACTCAGACCAAAAAAAAACACAAAAAACCCCACACCTCTTGTGGGTATGAGAACTATTCAAGTGGGAGTGTTTTCTCCACGAGTTACAGTGCAGCAGGATCTTCCATTCATGTGCTGGGCACAACGAGATCCAACGGAGCCATGTGAACAGCAGCTCTCCCCATTCCAACATCTCTACACGTTCCCCTTGCCCCAAACCTGCACTTACTCATCGATGCCAGTCCTTTTAAAATAAAAGGAGATGCTAAATATTTAAAAATCCCTGGGGCAGAGCCTGGGGCTGCTGTAAATTGTCATAGCTCCATCGGCTTTGGTGCACCTATGGTAATTCACGCTAGCTAGGAGTTTCTCCAATTCCTCCTCCTCTCAACTTTGCTTTATTTAAGTGCATCTTTAATGCAGTTCTCTGCCAAATGATTGTTTATATAGAATTGCCTCTTTTTTTTTTTTTTTCGTGCTAAAAAGACAGCAGAAAACAGTAGCTCAGAGGAACATAAATTTGCCATGACTTTTGACATGCCCAGTGTTAAAATGCATTGGAAATCACACTGGGAACAAAACGCCTTCTGGTTCTTGTGCTGCTCCAATAAAACAAGAGAAAGTATTTCCAAAAAATATTGAGTTCAACTTTTTTTTCTTTTTTTTTTTTTAGCAGACATTTCGTCTGTCTGCAGCAATGCTACGTGAGGTATCCTTTAGCCATGGAACTTATGCAGATGGTCGTAACAAAAGTATGTTTGATAGCCCTACGCCACAGCATTGTCTGGGCAGAATAAACCAGCAGCACATTTGTCCATCTCATCCCCTGTGCCATGTGCTGGCATAGTGTTTAGGATGAATTATGTGAGATCAGAGTGCAGCAGGGCTGGGTTCTGTAGTAAGTGCATCTTATCTTATTGCATAGCTGGCACAGCTATCACAGAGATCGGGAACAATACGTTTAAGTAATACTTCAAACTTCTTCCTTCTAAAACCACGGCTCATGGCTAAAGTGTTCCAAATATTTCGCCAATATCTACACGCTTATCACTACCCTCATAGCAGATATTTGCCACCCCTGAGCCATCCGTACTTCTGGGGCCACAACAAACACAAAGATGCAGAGCAGTCGCTCCTTCCCAGCGATGGACCATTGCAGAGGTCCATCAGAGCACCTCATGAGGACTAAGGGAGTCTGAGCCTGAAGGTTTAGCAGACGTATCTCTCAGATCTTTCAACCCCAAATCTCCAAATATTTCATTGCTGCACCCGACTCCGAAAGCTGCACAGGGTTTGTTTCACATGTGCTGCCTAACAGAATCGACTCCTTCCAATTTCAGTCAATGGCAAAAATCCCAAATTCTGGTGGGTCCAAGACCGAGCCTACAGGACTCTCCTGGAATGGATTATTGCTGAAATATGCCAACACTTCAGATTCTGATTCCACACTGCTTTAGGGACATACCTTTACAGGTGTTCATTTCCTTTAAGCGAGGATATTAAGGACCAAAGATTTCTTTCCTACACATTTTCCATTGCAGCACTTTCCTATTTAACTTCTTCTGTGGTTTTCAGTACCAACAGCCCTGAAAACAAAACTACTAGCAAACACAGAACCCAAAAAGCTCTTGCAAGCAGCACCAGACCCCACAACCCCATAGGGTTCATCTCAGAGGCAAACTTGCAAACTTACACCCCCCCCCCAGGAAAAAA